TGTTATTTACTAGCTACGTATGATTATGAACTCATAAGGCGACCTGTTACATGTTCTTGTCTGATTGTTGTTTTGAGACTGAGAACTTGGTCTCTTTATTTATTTATATTTTCCGGCTTATATTTGTTTTTTTCGTATAGGGTTGTTCCTTGTGAACGGTGTCTCCGCTATGGTTCTGTTTGATTCGGGGGCTACCCGATCCTTTGTATCTCTTGTGTTCAACAAGAAGTTTGGTGATACTCCGGGAGAGTTGGACTTTCCTTTAAATATTGAAATTGTTGATGATCATCCTGTTCAAGTATCGAGGGTTCATCTGGGATGCATATTGGAGTTGTTTAGTGAGTAGTGCCCGATCGATTTGGTTCATATTCCCCTACGCGAGAGCAACGTTATTGCGGGGATAGATTGGTTGAGTCCAAATGGGGCAGTGATTGATTATGAGCATCAGTTGGTACGTATTCGGACCCCAAGTGGGGAGAGTTAGTGATTCAAAGAGAGGGTGTTCGGCATGGACCGACCCTCTGTTCAGCAGCAAGGGCCAGATGTTATCTCCAGCAGGGTTGTTTCGGATATATGGCTTATGTGATGAATACCTGGGAGGAGGGTAAGGTGACCATGGGCGATGTACTAATTATTTGGGAATACCCATACGTTTTTCTAGAGGATTTTCCTGGAGTGCCTCCGGATAGGCAAGTGGAGTTTCAGATTGACTTGGTTCCAAGTGAAGCTTCGATATCCAAAGCACATTCTTGGTTAGCACCCCCAGATATGCAGGAGTTGTCTGCACAACTACAAGAGCTATTAGACAAGGGATTTATTAAACTGATTACTTCACCATGGGCAGCTCCGATCTTGTTTGTGAAAAAGAAGGATGGGTCACATTGGATGAGTATCGACTATCGGGAGCTGAATAAGCTAACGATGAAAAATCGTTATCCACTTTTGTGAATCAACGATTTATTTGACCAGCTTTATGGTGCATCTTGGTCTTTCAAGATTGATCTACGGTTGGGTTATCACCAGATGATGGTCAAAGAGGAGGATACGTAGAGGACATCATTTTGGACTCGTTATCGTCATTACCAGTTCATAGTGATACCCTTCGGGATCACCAATGCTCCAACAACATTAATTGATCTCACGAATCGCGTATGCATACCTATGTTGGATCAGTTGATGATTATGTTTATTGATGACATCCTAGTCTACTCCAAGACTCGGGAACAACATGAAGAGCATGTAAGAGAGGTGTTGGAGACATTGAGGAGGGATAAGTTGTATGTAAAGTTATTTAAGTGTGAGTTCTGGTTGCACGAGGTGCAGTTTCTAGGACTCATCATCAACCCGATTGGTATTCTGGTCGATCCGGCCAAAGTTGAGGCGATGATGAGGTGGGAGGTTCCGAGGTCTCCATTTGAGATTCGGAGTTTGCTTGGATTGGTGGACTACTATTGGAGATTCATTTAGCATTTCTCCAAGATAGCAATTCCTTTGACCCAGTTGATGAAGAAGACTAATACATTTCTTTAAGGGTCTAACCTACAGACATTTTTTGAGACTATGAGGCAGATATTGTGTGAGGCGCTGATTCTGAACCTTCCTGAGGGTGTCAAGGGTTTTGTAGTATACTATGACGCATCGATCATGGGTTTGGGTGCAGTTTTGATGCAGCGGGGTCATGTGATCGCATACGCTTTGAGGCAGCTAAAGCCTCATGAAGCAAACTACCCTATGCATGATTTGGAGTAGAGGGTTGTGGTTTTCACCCTCAAGATTTGGCCATGTTACCTCTATGGGGTCCATTGTACTACTTACATGGATCACAAGAGAGTAAAGTATTTAACAGATCATCTGAATGTAAACATGAGGCAACATAGATGGTTAGATGTCGTGAAGATTATGATTATGAGATCCTTTATGACATAGGGAAGGCCAACATGGTGGCTGATGCTCTCAACTGCAAGGCGGTTCCTACCCCGATCAAGGATGTGTGTTTTAGAATGACCTTGATTAACCCACTCTTAGAGTAGATTCGAGAGGCTCAACTTGAGTCTATAAAGAAAGAACACCGGAAGAGTAAGCGCATAGTGGGTCAAGTGGCTTCTTTTGATTATGATAGCTTGGGATTATTGACCCTTCAATGTAGGGTGTGGGTCCCATGTTGGGGTGGTGCATTCCGGGTTTTGTTAAAGGATGCGCAAAAGTTGATGTTGTCTATTTATCTCGAGCGAAACAAATGTATAGAGATCTCAGACTTGACTATTGGTGGTCATGCATGAAGTAGGATATGGCGTGGTATGTGGAAAGATGTTTGACTTGTAGGAAAGTCAAGGTCGAGCATCGGCGACCACACGAGAAAATGGAGCCATTGGGTGTTCATGTTTCGAAAAGGGAAGAGATTACGATGGATTTTATCACGAAGTTATCTCATACGATATGTGAGGTGGATTCGATATAGGTCATTGTGGATCGATTGACAAAGAGCGCACATTTTATCCCGAACTAGGAGAGTATATCGACAGAAAAGCTAGCCGACTTCTACATTCCGAAGGTTGTGGCATGGCATCGGGTGTCAGTTTTAATGGTTTCTGATAGGTATGTTCGGTTTACTTCTAGGTTCTGTAAGAGATTCCTTGAGGAGTTAGGTACTCATCTGCACTTTAGCACGACTTTCCATCCGCAGACTAATGGTCAGAGTCATCAGCTTTTTTCAGTTCAGTTGGGTGCAACATTCGTTGGTGTCATTAGTATCTTTTTTGTTATGTTTTGTTATCCCAGTAGTAACCTTGGATGATCTATTTGAATGTTATTGTTTTAATCAACGTTGGTTCTTTTTTGAATAATATTGTTTTAATCAACTTTGGTTCTCTCTCTCTCTCTCTCACTCTCTCTCTCTCTCTCTCTCTCTCTATATATATATATATATATATATATATATATATATATATATATATATAGGTTTGAATTTGGTTGAGAACTCATAGTTTCCCGAGAACTAAAAGTGGAGCGTTGGATCAAAACTAATTCATTAAGGGCATCATCGTCCTCTTACCGATCTCATTTAATGTTTATTTTTTTTTTTGTTATTGGAAATATTAATAAAAAGTTCTAAAAATTAACATAATAAATCAAATTTCAATTTCTTTTAAAAAACTAATTTTCGAATTCATATAAAATAATGGATCTTTTTTCATTTTTTAATTGAAAAATAATATATTTTTTTTAAATTGCAAATTTTTTTCCAAAAAAACTGCATTTTTCTCAAAAAAGATTGCAATTTTTTCAAAAAAAAAAAAAACTGCAATTTTTTCAAAAAAATGCATTTTTTTAAAAAAATTAAATTTTTTAAAATCAATAAATTAAAGAAAAAACTAGAATATTTATAAAAAACCCTAATTTTTTTAACAAAAAAAAGCAACGTTTTAGGTGCATATATGCATAATTTTCAAATACATATATGCATCTTTCTTATACTATAATATTCGTAAGTAATCATATAAAAAACCCATTTTTATTTAATAATCTATAAACACAATAATACAAGTATTTTATTCGATACAAAATAAAATATAAAAAAATAAAAAATACTACAAATTTCAAAGCATTTTCATGTTTTCGTATCAAGATTTCCATATTTTCTTTACTTTATTATTTTTCACCTTTTCAATATTTTCCACAAATTCTTTCAAATCTACAAGAAAAAAAAATTGATTAATGCAAGAAAAACTCACAAAAACACATGTGTGTATATAGACGTAATTTATATGTGATTCACTTGTGATTTATATGTGAATCACATGTAATTCATATGAAATTTACCTGTGAGTTAAATTTGGTAATTCATATGTGATTTATTTGTGATTTACATATGAATCATATGTACTTCATATATGAATTACATATGATTTATATGTAAATTAGATATGGATAACCAATAACTTATATGTGATTCACTTGTGATTTACATGTGAATTACATTTGATTTACATGTGAATCACATGTAATTCATATGTAAATCACTTGTGGATTATATATGATTAACTTGTGATTTACATGTAAATCACATGTAATTTACTTGTGACATATTTTTAAAATGAAACAAATTAAAATAAACTGTATGGTTAGAAAAAAGTAAATAATTAAGATGATTTACATGTGAATTACAGGTGATTCACTTGTAAATCACAAATGATTCACATGTGTCACAAGTCATTTACATGTAAATCACAAGTGATCCATGAAGCTCAATATAGAAACAATTAAAATAAACTAAATGGTTAAAAAAATTTAAGATGATTTACATGTGAATTACATGTGATTCATATGTAAATCACAAATGATTCACATGTATCACAAGTGATTCACATGTGAATCACAAGTGATGCACATGTAAATCACAATATCTGATAAATGGATATTTTATTACCTATCTTTTAAATCACAATATCTGATAAATGGATTTTACCTGAGGATGTTTCGTTAGGAAAGGTGCAAATCAGGATCTCCAATAAAAATTACTCATTTGCATGATTAATCTACAACCAAATTCCAATAACAAGTTAATTACAAGCTTAATTACAAAACCACTAACTAATTCCCCCTCCCCCCCCGCGCAAAAAAAAAAAATCAATTACCAATTTAGGAAAGTTCAACTAGTTTAACACGATTTCAAACTTATCTCTAATTGATAATCAAATGAATTAACAAAAAAAGAAACAAAATTCAACATAATCATTAACGAACTAGTAAGATCTCACTTTCAATGAGCAAAATAACAAATCTCACTTCTGATAAATAAATAAAATAGTAATTTTTCACCTGATTAATCAGTGTACAATTCCAAACCTAACTACAAATTGAAATGAATCAAATCGGTACTTTTCAAATTAGGGATAAAACTTGTCGATTGAAGCATTTTTTTGAGTTGCAGTGGATTCATCCACGGGAACTTCACCTCAATTCTTACATCTTGGCGACGCTAATAAGATACGGCGACAAGATGTAAAAGTATTTCTACAAAGAATACGAATTAAGAAATTGAAATAGGACCCACTAAAAAGGAAAAAAAATGACAATGAAAGCCTCAACTAAGATGTTGAATGTACAAGTTGGGGTTACAAAACACTACCATTTGCTAAATTGGTAGAGTCTGAACATGAAGAAGCACCAAAAGCTGAATTTATCTTTAAAAATGTAATGAAATTAATGCAAGGAGATAACTAATGAGTCAAAGGACAAAATATATTGTATATCTACACTTTAACATGACTTGCCTTCAAATGCTTCAAGTTCTCCACTCTGAATAAATTTCATCACCTTTTCCTACAAAGATGGTTTAGTGGAAGTCTCTTCATTCGACAACAACACAGCTTCAGCCAACTTTGTTCTATTCTCATCTAAATCTTTTTAATACAAATGATTTAATAAGAAGAGTTTTGAGTTTAACTTTATTGCATGCTGTAAAAAGTGAAAAGAAAAAAAAAACACCTGTTGTTTCATCTTCTTCAGTATTGGTATTTTCCTTATTATCAGTCAAGCTCTCATCTACATTAAAATCATTGACTTTAACCTCTTGTGAGGCTGCAAGAAGCTCTTTAATAAGTTTGTATACTCTTCTTCTCACAAGGTTCGCAAGATCTTGCCTATATAGCAATGTAAGAACAAAAGAATAATTCAAAAAAATCTCAACAAGTAGAAGCCATTTCCATAAAGCATATAATTTTCTTTCTAATGAAATGTATGTTTTAATATAGTGTGAGGATAGACCTGAAATCAAATGATATACAAATGTCTTAAGCCAGTATGATAAATTTCCATTGAATCTCCATGATTACCCAGGTAAGAAGTGATTTTCTTCACAGAAAAATTTACAAACGCCCTAATATCATGTCACAACTCTACTAATTTTTTGACTGATTCCTACTAACCACTTGTTACTAAGGATGCAAGCAATTTCTAGTATCAGGAATGTTTTCCATGATAAGTAAAGCATACATATCAACAGACATATATTCAAGTACAGAACAAGGAATTGGAAATAAAGAAAAGTAATATAATGCTACAGAAACGAAACCTGCCATGGTGCGAAAGCTCCTTCAAATAAGGAACATGTCCATCAGGAAACCTAGCATCGGACATAAATTCCCGTAAATCGTTGAAGAGATTGCCGGTTTCCTACTGGCAACTCTAAAGCACAAAATTCGTTTAACAAACCTCGAATTAGGTAAAAAAAATCAACACGAACAAATACATACAGAGACACATGCAATTGAAAATGAAGCAACAAATTGCAAACCTTGTTTCCTTCGGTGATGAAGCACAATCTGTGACGAGGAGGCAGCGGCGGTGACGGACGCCGAATTGGCAAAGGTGAGGTTCTGGAGCGGCAGTTAAGATGAGTTTGTAAGAAGGGAGGAACAAGTGAGAGTGAGTGAGGTGCAGGTGCGTCGCTATAGAGGAGACTCAGGCATGGATTAGATCAATTGATCCATGGAACGAAATCGATCAATTGAAATGTGATATATGCAGAACGCAAGGTAGAGAATTCAAAACTTTGAAACCTGATATATGCCCTAGCTGTCATTTTTGGATCTTAGGAACCAAACAAAAACTAGAAAATTCAATGATCATAAGAAAATTACCTTCACCGTGTGATTAATGATGAATTGTTAACGGTCGACGGAGAGAGAAGAAATCGTCAATTTATAGGAAACGATGGCAATGGTGTAGGTGTTACAGGAGGTGATGGTGGTGATATGGTTTCTAGGGGAGATTGACGAACTCCATGGCTATCATGTAAGGGTTTACAGAGAAATCATCCACCAGAAGGTATCATCTTCAAAACTCGGAACAAGACGTCTGGATTGACGTTCTCTAAACAGGGTCAATATCTATATCCCTAAAATGCCCCCAATTCAATTTTGTTTCAGTACCCCATTCATTTACTTTCTCATTTACAAAAATATCACAAAACATCTTGACCATCATTTTTTTTGATATAACGAATGACTTTTAGTTCTCGGTTCTCGGAAACTATGAGTTCTTAAATGATCTTTCCTATCTTTCTCTTTCTCTCTCTCTCTCTCTCTCTCTCTCTCTATATATATATATATATATATATATATATATATATATATATATATATATATATATATATATATATATATATATTAACAAAAAGTGAGGAAGTTTGGAGAATGTGGATAAATTTAACCGGACGTTAAAGGATTGTTTCGTTGAACTTTTTATTATTTAATTTTAGTCAAACTCTTATTGTTCTTCCCAGACTTTAGGCCCAATTAAATTGTTTTGTGTATTGCACTGCACGGTTTTACAATTGACTCAATTGAAGTTATTTTTGGTTTTTTATCCCTTCCTCCCTGTTTCTTCCTGTCGAGAAACCAACACAAAAAGAAAACTTTTGTTGAATTACTCTATAAATTCCAACCTCTATATATCATTTCATCTACTTGGTTTTATTTAATGCAGCATTATAAACTTTTAATGACCCGTATTGAAGTTTGTATGACTATATAAATTTATACAATTTTCTATATATTTTGAATTACGTTCTATCTTTTCCTGAACCTATGAAAATAATTAAAAAAATCATAACTGAAAGTACCTATATGTTTTTATACTTGTCTATGTTTTAAATGTATGTAGCAGGTTTCTAGTAGTGTCATCGGTTATCTAAGTGACAAGTTTCATGTAGCAATTTCGAGCATCAACTATGAACTTATTGTGACCAGGTCCATAGCAACAAACTGCATCTGCCGATATATAGGCACAACATTACGAATATCATATGTCACAAAACCGTATACAAATAATACCCACAAGATTCACTAAGATTTGAATTTATATAAAAAAGAAACGAAAAACGCTTATTCAAAGATAGAATAGTTACTTTTTTTATTATAAACTCACTGTGTGTAGTTAGCCGACGAAGACTAACAAGCTACCTTTTGAATTTCTCCTGTTTCCTGAATCTCATTAAAATATTATCTATCCAAAAACATGAAATATATATTTTTTTTCTTTTCTTTTTTGGAACCGGCAGATACTATATTAAAAAAAAAGGTCAAATAGTAAGAAACTATAGGCCAAAAGTACAAAGAGGAGACACGAAATATTTACATACAAGAGGAAGGACTAGTACATCAGGCAATCCATTTATAGGAATAGTTAGCTCTCCTATGTTTAATTACTCGATCTTCCCTAATTCATTACTCGAGCTCTCCATATCAATTTGTTCCCTTACCACATTAACGTGGTACACCCCGTCCCCAGAGACGTTACAAACCCACATGTCTGGGTGGGTGTTTAGTAGGAATGATTCCACTTTGAGAGCCAATTCATCAAATTCACGTGCTTCAGAGTTAGATGATGGGCTCGATTTCCATTTCCATGTTATCCCCTCAGTGTTTATCCTGTCCCTTATTTTGCATTTTTTACTTTTCTCCAGTTTATACAATCCTAGGAACATTGATTTTAAAATTTCGTTGTCCAGCCATTTATCTAATCAGAATAACGTGCTATCTCCATTGCCCATCTGTTTCTTGATTACTTCATCAAAATTGATTATACCTTTCAAGAACTCTCTATTTACCCCTGCTATATTGTTCCAAACACCCGCAATGGACTTTTTTGAAATACAATCTGCAACTTTGTTCTTAAGATTATGGATACCAATAATCGTCTCCCTCCATAGACTTGCTCCATCACTGCGCAACTGCCACTACCAATTGCCAATTAGCGCTAGATTCATAGCTTTAAGTGAACCCAACCCAAGACCGCCAGCTTCTCTAGGGGATACCACCTTTTTCCAAGAGACCCAATTAATTTTTCTCTTCCCATCATCATTCATACCCCATAAGAATTTCCTTCTAATACTTTCCATAGAGTTTATGACTCCTTAGGAAGTCAATAATTGAATAACCATAAATACGACGTGGATTTTATTGTGACGTGGATTTTAAACAATAATTGCTCCTGACATCTTCTATATATATAAACATCCTCCCAAAAACAAAAAAAGATTTTCAAATATATGTTGTAATATACATATAAGAAACATTATTATAAAAAATATTATCATAATTAAATGTGATATACGTTAATTATGTATAATCTTATCAAAATTAAATGTAAAATACATTAATTATAAGAATATTCTTTCCGTCCCAAAATTATAGTCCAATTTTTTTTATTTGTATCAAAATAATAATCAACTTTTAAAAATAAATAACATTTGTTTACCAAAATACACCCTCATTATTCCTTAAATAACTAAGAATATAATAGAATATTAAATGCAAAATAAGGATAAAATTATCATTTATTGTATAAAGTTAGTAGTAATTAATGTTTCCTTAATCTCTGTGTTTTTTTTAATATGTATGACATTTAACTATAGTAATATTCTTCATAATTAATACTTCAATTAATGCTAATTATATGTGCCCTTAAGGCACATATTATTAACATTAATTATATGTGCCCTTAAGACACATATTAGAAAGTCTGAAACAAAAAAGCAAACTCAGTACGACAAAAAATGGATCAAAATACTTTTTCTTACACTACATCTTCATCTTCTTCCAATGACCATCCACCAAAAACAATCAGTTATAGCCAACTATCATATCATAATTCTCTCCAGACAGTTCGCAAATCTATCCAAAAACCCACCTCCAAACATTTCATAGCACCGTTACCACCCACCCAACCTAAAGTTTACAAAGTTGATTCTTCCAATTCCAAGGAAATTGTTCATGCACTCAATAGCGACACCAAATATCAATCATCATTTGTACGCCGCCTAAAAGACATCGCTCCGCCACCTTTTGTCCTCTCTACAGTGCCAAAACCATCGTTATTTCTCAGACTGAAGGGTCTAATTAGTTGTTTGGTCTAGGCTTTCTATGTATTAGGTCATTTTGGTTATTTGATAGCTGATTATAGTATATTTGGAGTTTACGGTCGTTTGTGATGAGTTTACGGTCGTAAGCTGTTTACGATTGTAAACCCAGTGTCGGTCCAATATCGTATAAATAGGGGTTTGCTAGGTCTTTTGTAGTTGTTGATGCCTCGGTATTCTCAGCTCCTGTAACCGCAAGTTGTACCAGACGTGATTCTAATATAAAAGCGTGTGCACGCTTGTTTGTTCTTTATTGTACTTGTTCTTAATTGATTTACTGATTGTGTTTGCTATTTGATCACTGGTAAGATCCGTTTAAGGACCTTACAATTGGTATCAGAGCGTAAAGTGTGTTCTTGGGCCGTGAATAAAGAGTATTCATAAACCGGAAACTAACTGTTCTTGGACCATAAATCTCAAGCTGTAAACACCTTACGACCGTAAACTCAGAGTTTACGGCCGCAAACTCACCCTTGACCATGAACCTTGTTTATGGCCGCAAACAGTGTTTTGACTGTGTTTAACCAGAAACTTAATTTAATTTTACATAATTTAATTTCTATTTCATATTAATTTAATAATAATAATGGACTCTCAAAGTCAAACACACCACCACGAGTTGGATTCTGTAATGGGCACAACCACCCGAATTCCTAGACTCCTGTCTGCTGAAGGCTTCCCGGAATGGAAGTATAGAATTGAAAAGTACATCAAGATGAAAGACTTTAAAATCTGGAGAAGCATAATAAAAGATCCTGTCAGAATAACCACTACTGTCTCAGGTCAATTAGTTGACAAGAAAATTGAAAATTATACAGATGAAGACTTCGAGAAGTTTGAAGAGCAAGAAAAGGCTTTGGCCACCTTGACCATGACCCTATCTCCAGACATTGTTCAAGGTTTCAGGGAGTACATTTCTGCTAAGGCTTTGTGGGAAGCCCTAATTGAAGTCTATGAAGGGAACGAAGATATGAAGGAGAGTTGCCCAAGATATGCTGCGATAACGTTTCAATATGTTCAACTACGTTCATGGAGAGACTCTTGTAGCACAGCTGCAGCGGTTCACATCTCTTAACACTGAAATGATTGTAGCCGAGATTTTCTACACAAAGTCTGAGATAAACAAGAAGCTGCTAAATGCTCTCCGAAAGTCTTGGGACATTAATGTAGCTGTTATAAAGAAGACTAAGGATCTTCGCCGGCTCTCTCTTGCTAAAGTAATGGATGTCATCAAGGCCTGTGATATTGATGGCAAGCAGCGAGAGATAAACCATGTGAACTCATACTCACCTGCGAACCTTGGGATCTCTTATAATAATGCTCTTTCATCTCTCACTTTTTCTTCTACAGGTCAATCATTTGCTGTTTAGCAAGCTCAGGTTCAGTCCTTCCCCACTCCATCAGCATCTTCTCTTCCTGCTGCATCAGTTGTGCCTTTCTCTCAAAATCAATCGTTCATGGGTGCTCAAGCTGCTTCCGCCTCCTCCAATGTGGCTTCTTCTTAAAAAGGAAAGGAGGGTGAGGAAAACCTCGCTCTTGTTGCAGGGCTTGTCAATTGCTACAATGCACTTGTGGCCAAAGATCTTCCACCCCAATTGTCATTTTCCAATCTCGATCAGATTCACCCTAAAGACGTCGAAGAGATGGATATCACATGGCAAATTCCCATGGCAGTCTTCAGGGCAAAACAATTTGCCAAGAAGACCGGAAAGAACAATTGGGGGATGATTGCTGACTAGAAGGTTGGGTTCAGCTGGGGGATGAGTACTAGGTGGCTCCGCTTAAAAGTCACGCACATGAGTACGCTAAGCGTACACACGTACGACTAGCGTACTCAGCTGCTACCTTTATGAAATAAGGGACTTATCATCCTGCCAAAATTTCAAACTTCCATAGCTTCCTTGATATAACTCTGTTTCCAATGAAACTCATATACACAGAAAGTTGACGAGATGCCCTACGCTTCTAGCAACTCGTCGCAACCCCGATCCTTCCTCATGCCCGAGTTGTATCCCATGAACCCTAATCACGAACGATCCAAAACAGCATGTTACAATTCTCTCCCACTTGAATTAGATTTCACCTCGAAATTGCTCCTTATCAACACATAGATCAAACCCAATAACCCGAGAAGCACCACCGAAAGGACCTCATATCATACCACAATCTCTTTCAAAGAAACATGAACCCAACAAGAACTCCCGACCCTGAAGAAGGACAAACCCTTCTGCCGATGCAGTACTCGATCTGACTCTCCAGAACTTGAAAACTCTAGTGGTCTGTCTCCCCGCCAGACCACCCTCACAAAATATCATCATGTTAATCGCTCATCGAATAACAGACTCTAAGAACACTCTACCAACTCTGATTGTCTAATCAATCCCGATCGAACTCAAGAGGAAAGGAAAGGTCATATTCCACTCAGGACCCACCGCCTGAATAGCTATCAGAACTCTTCTGAAGGAATGATCATTAAAACTCTGTCCTCAGACACAAGAAAGCGATCAAGCCATCTCGGAACGATCCTCTGAAACCCTTAATCATAAGCCCTAGTTCCTCTTAGATGTCCCTTCCGACACTGAGCACCAGGTCAACTCCCGACCCAATAGTTGAACCTCCAAGGTTACCCACTGCACACCCCATACAACGAGTTACCGACTTCCTTCTCACGATAACTATCTCGGCCCATCGTGAAACACAAGTCATGAAGTTCACTTTACCCTAAGCAAATACTACAACCCCATCTAAAAGTCGTCACACATTCGACCTCTGTCGTCTACCACCTACTGGTTCCATGCGTCTCATGGTACTTCCCATACCAACAAAACTGACCCACTTAAGTCTAAAAAATCAGATGGTGATCAATACCCCTCAAAATGAAACCCATCTACAAATCCAGAACCTCATCTTGCCTACTCAATACACGAATTGTCCCAAACTCAACTCTGGAGTCTGATTCAACAGCAGAATTGCAACCACTCATTTCCAATCTGATACTTAATACCCACGATCTGCGAATTAATGCACACACGATCTCTCCAATTCCTTCTGATTACGATAGTCCCTCCTCCACCCGAGATATAACGATTCCAACTGTCATAGTGACCCCAGTCTCACCCCTGATCCGACAACCAGGTTCCCGAAGACTCAAAAGGTAAGGCTACCCAATCCTAAGAACCCCTCTACGTCATACTCTGATTAGTGAATACTACAGCTCCCCGCAGAATAGTATTCACTGTTATCGACTACTGAGTTCTACGTTTTCTCCCGTAGTCTTACAACACCCTCTCACTAACTCGTGAATGCTACGGCTCCCTATAGTATCACAACAGTCTCTTGCTAAATAGTGAATACTACGGCTCCCCGCAGTACCACGATAATCTCTAGCTGACTAGTGAGTACTACGACTCCCCGCAGTATCAAAACACTCTCCCGCTAACCAGTGAATACTACGGCTCCCCGCAGTAACACGACACTCTCTCGCTGACTAGTGAGTACTACGGCTCCCCGAAGTATTACAACACTCTCTCGCTAACCAATGAATACTACGGCTCCCCTCAGTATCATGTTACTCTCTTGCTAACTAGTGAGTACTATGACTCCCCGTAGTACCAAGATACCCTCTCTCACTGACTCATGGATAATATCGCTCCCCATAGTCTTACAACACTCTCTCGCTCACTGACTCACCATGGCCTCACTCCATGGTTTCTCCTGATAATCCCAAGCGATTACTCCCACACTGATCCACTTGCTTTCTTATCACCCCATAATCTCATCATCAAGTCATCACTACATTGATTTCACCAACTCATGCTCCGCAGCTCAACATAGATAGGTGCTTACACCCACCCAGCTTTTGCACCACCACTCCTGATGTAAGTTCTCATAGGCAAGGCACTAGTCTCGGCACAAATACACACTTACACAATGCCACTCCAACGACAATTAACTGATGGGTTCCCACTGGAACAAAAATCACTCGAGTACCTCGGTACACCATCACAGCATCTGACGATGTCTTGCCTTAACCATTGATCTTCCACTTACACAATTCGAAACCTCGAAATATTCCCATCTCACAAATTGAAACATGGAGCAATCATCAACGACTATAAACACGTTGACAAAAATCCAAAGCTCCACCCTTTACTGATCACCACCCATATGAAACTACTCATACCGACTCTGAAATTGGTAGACAAATCAACTGCTACCCCTCTTGGGGTATAGATCACAATCTATACCTATACCCATAAATCTCAACTATTGCACCCTAAACTCAGTGACCCAACTGCCTCAAACTCAACATTTGCAAGCCCAAAAAATCCCTGGCCACAACAAATTTTCTGATCAACTGCACATACACATACATCATCTCACCTTAAATCACACCTCGTCCACCAATAACCCAGGTTTCATGTGTCCGCACCACAGATCTCCATAACCAATTCTCTAACCGCACTTGAACGAATCATTAATCCTCTCAATAGAATACCCAGTTCTCCCCACTCAGGGTTCGAACTATCACCAATTGGCATAACAACAATCTACTCCATAGACTATTTCACCAGGTATATCACACTTGACTCTTGGAACGTACCACATAATCACTTCAATGATCTTCTTGATGGAACCAAGCAACTCCAAATGTCTCGTAACACTAACAAAAACCTCAGAATTCTCCCAATGTGACTGCCTCTAGTCATCTCGAAGCCTCAGACCGATATACCGCCGGATACCCCAACTGTTCCGAATTAGTCCTGACTCTCGGTCCGAAAATAATGCACTATCACGCACCTCGTCTCTGATTTCCTCGACGAGCCTACCATCTCAAGAATCATCATAAAAGCAAGAGACCTCACTCTCATAGTCGATAACCAACATAGAAAATGAAGGCCACCACCCCAATATACTCCTCTTGATCACCTGGAACTGTTGCTAAAAGTATGCCTCCCTCAATACGACACCTCCTTCTTCTCTTCCATCTTAGTCCC